TGGGGTGAGTATTTTGCCTTCAGGGCTGTGAAATCATTGAAAGCGTGAGACTGAATTTACTGCTTGCTGGGTAATAATACGTTAAGTTTTATTATCTACAGCCTGTAAGCTGCTTTCTAATTACAAGTCTGATACAATAAAAGTGTAATTTCTGCTTATTCTCTCATGTTTCCTTTATTCTCTGCCCTCCCCTCCCTGCACGCACCTTAGGGCCCTTCAGAGATCCACAGAACAGATGTACTCTTGGGTGAAGAACACCATGTGCTGCTGAGCTACTGTTTCAGTGTGTGCTCTTAATGCCCAGGAGCATGTCTACATGTGAGCAGCTGGAATAAAGCATTCTGGCTTTTACAGCGGTAGGAACAGGAGGCTGTGGGTGAGCTGCAGGGAGCATTGGCTTGGGCTGGTTCACAGGCTGCCAATTTAGGCTATTTTCCTGGAGAGAGAGGGCATCTGAAGACAGTTTCCCAATCATCACTATCTGATCTGCAAAGCTGTTGCAGGAGGTGGTTGCATGTGCGAATGCTGCGCTCTAGTGGTTTGTATAGCTTGGAGGAAATGTCCATGCCTCACGAGTTCGAAGGACGTGACAATGACTTGGTGAGGTTGGAGGACACATACATGCTGTGGAGAGACGGGAGGAAATTCCATGCTTTGGTGAGGCTGGAGGAAATGGCCATTCCTTGGCAAGGTTGGAGGAAATGGCCATGCCATGGTGAGGCTGGAGGAAATGGCCATGCCTTAGTGTCCTGGTTTTGGCTGGGATAGAGTTAGTTTTCTTCCTGGTACAGTGCTGTGTTTTGGCTTTATTCTGAGAATATATTGAAAAGCCAAGGACTTCTCAGCCTCTCATGCTCTGCCAGTAAACGGAACACAGAAAACAGGAGGAAGCACAGCCAGGACAGCTGACCCAAACTATCCTAGTGGGTATTCTATACTAGAGAACATCAAGCTCAGTATAGAAATACTGAATATATAATATAGTATTATATATAGTATAATACTGTATGGGGGGAGTTGGCTGGGAGGCACCCATTGTTGCTCTGGGACAGACTGGGCATCAGTCTGAGCAATTGTATTGTGCCTCACTTGAAGATTTTTATGTGTTTCATTCCTCTCATTTCATTATTATCATTATTGTTATTACTGTTATTATCATTGTATTTTATTTATTTCAATTCAATTATTAAACTGTTCTTATCTCAACCTATGGGTTTACCTGCTATCACCAAGGCAAGGAGTGAGAGGGGGAGGGAGGGAAGGAGAGAGTGGCTGTGGGAAATGGTGAATTCCTTGTTTTGCTTTGCTTGTGCACACAGCTTTTGCTTCACCTATTAAACTGTCTTTATCTCAACCCATGAATTTTCTCACTTTTACCCTTCCAATTCTCTTCCCTATCCCACCAGAGGTGAGTGAGTGGCTGTGTGGTGCTCAGTTGCTGGCTGGGGTTAAACCACAATACTTGGAGAGGCTGGAGGGAATGGCTGTGTCTTGGAAAGGCTGGAGGAAATGGCCATCCCAGCCTCATGCACATACTTCTCCAAGGTGGATATATTTCTTGGCTTTGCTATTGTAGCCTGACACATACAGTGTCCTTCACTTTGCACTAATTTTAAAGCCTAACAACTCCCCACTGTAGCTCTCTCCTACTTACAGATCTTTGCCCAGTTTATTGGTATATTTTTGTTACCATTAATGGAGCAAGGCTAATTTTACATCACTTGAGGTTTCACACAATATCCCAGATCATACCTGGACAATCTACCTTGTTTCTTTTGTCTTCTTTTTTGAATAGCTCCTTCTTCTGCCAGATTTCTATGTTTGGAGCAGGCAGGGAGCTTTGCATTCCTTGTGTCCTTGCTCATGCTCCAAAATTGCCACACTGTGATGGTGCTCCTTCACATTCCTGACTTATTAAAGGGAAGGTGGTGGATTTCCCAATGTCTCATCTGGCACCTCCTCCAGGATGTTTTTCAGCTTCCCTCTTCATGCTTCTCAGTGCCACAGCTTTGTTTCAACTTCCCCCCCCCGTCTCATGCTATTTTCCAGGTTGTCAGGCAGGTTAAAAAAGCACAGGAGGTTTTCTTAGCTGACAACCACTTCAGGGTAGGGATGGCTTGTGGAGAGAAGGTGAATACTACCAGGATATGCACAGATGATTACAACAGAAGCACGCATTTTTTACAGGCATTACCATGGGAAAGTGAAGCACTCATTAAATTGTTGTATAGTGAAAGTCCAAAGTTGCTATATTGACAAAGTCAAAATGGAGCCTAATTGGGTTTCTAGGGGTTTTCTTTCTTAGAGTCTATAGTTTTGGACACTATTGGGTGTTAACATGAAAGACAAGTCATTGTTGTGATCAGAAAATTAAAGTTCACCTGGGCTTTCAGTAAGTTGGGCAGGTATACATGGGGTTACAGTGAAGCATGGGATGAAATGAGGATTTCTTTGAAGGTTGGGGCAGTGTCTGCATCAAGACTAGAATGGAAATAATATAAAGGTCAACGGCTCACTTTGATTAACAAGGAGGATCACAGCTACAACCTTTGGAGCTAAAAAGCAATGAACAGTTATGCCTTTGGATCAAAGAACCAATTTCTGCAAAACAGATGACAAAACAAAGCCACATTACTTGTGGTTCAGGCAAAGATGAACACAGTGCTGACCAGCAAGGAGCAGGATTCATTCTTGCTGGAGAAGCTTATGCTAAAGGGAGCATTTCACTCTCTGTGATTCTTCCTTAGTGTGGGGCATAGTTGTCCAAGAATTCCTAAACCTTATTATTCAGTTTCATTACAAAATTATTTATGGACCTTTTTATTTGCCTCAAATCCCACCTGGGCAGAGCCATTTCTCTAGTTTGCAAGAAACCATGGGTTTTAATAAACATATTCAGAAAGTGATCCCCTTGGAGTGTCTTTGATCTCAACCAGTGCTACATGCCAGTGGGCTGAAAACTCCTCTGCGCTAGTCCCCCTCTAGGAAGAAATTGTCACTTATGGAGGATATTTTGTGTGACAACATACACACGAAAGCACTGATCAGATCACCAATGACTTCAAAGAATTAATCTCTTAATTTTCTAACCATTCTCTTTAATCTGGGCACAGTGTGTGATAAGAAGTTGACTCACTGAGAAAGTCACCCGCAAGTGTGGAGGAAGTTTATCTGGTCCTGGTGCTTTTTGTGGCCTGTTGTGCTGCCAGTCACAGCTTTGACAGCTGAGCTTGTTGTGCAAGGGCTGCAATCAAACATGACTGTAGCTCATCTTTTCTGCTCATCTGAGAGTCACTGGACAGTGTATTCCCATAGCTCTGATGACAGGTGACTGTACTGGGATCATGGGAGCATCAGGACACCAGCAGCCCTGTGCTCTCTGGAACTACACAAGCTAAAAATGAAGTTTTCTATGGATGATGAACTGCATTCACCCAAGGGAATAATCTGAACTTTACTAGGAGCTCCTGTTTTCCTTAGAGAAGCCAGTGCCCTATGTCCAGCCTGCAAATAACAACTGACCCTGGTTACCAGGCTTTATAGGGCAGATGAGAAGCTCTAACCAGGCATTAAAGATGGAGAAGAACATGGAGTGGTCAGTGCAGCTCTCACAGTGTGAACCAGTGTGTGTGGAAAGAGGCTGAGTGATTGGATGGCCCCATTTCATGGGGACCACCAAGACATTTCCAGAGACTGAGAAGCCTGGTTCCAGAGAGACCTCTGGAAAGCTATTACCAGCGTTATTGGGTGCACTTCTGCCTTGCAAAACCCCTGAGGCAGGGGATGCCACTGCTGCTGCCTCTCCAAATACCTTTCAGTATTACCATGCCAGGGAGGGTTATACTAAAGGTAATTACTCTTACTATGGGGAGCTAACATTCAACTACTCATCCTCAGGGATGAGTACACTGATGCTAGTCACTACGAGTGTTGCACACAGGACAGCTTTTGCATAGGAGCTAATAGGATATGTCATGGGTACCTCATACCTTCAAGGCACGTTTAGTAGCTATATAAATATCTCCTTCTATTAGAGCTCACTGGTCACATCACTGAGCTGTTCTCACCAGGGAGCTGGGTAAGTCTGGTTTGTGCTGAGCCTCTGTAGCTGCTGAAATGCAGATTTATTTCTACTTTTTTACATATTAAAAATGGTCTATGGGAGAAGTTTTTAAAATGAGTTGGTTTTAGTTGCGGTGTAGGAAGGAGTGTGCTCTTGGTGTCTGCAGATGGGCCTCTGAGTCCAAAAGACAATCCAGAAGAATTTAAGAAAAGGTTGTTAGCAGTAACTGGGGTGCTGCTATTATTGTTTGCTTTTGGGGGTGCCTGACAACAGTAAGAACAGCTTTGGTGTATCAGGGAACAGTAATGCTGAAAGAGCTGTAAACAGGTTTGTGTTGAGTTGTGGTATCACTCCCCTTTAATAGACTTTGGTTCCCTAATGAGCATGAACTTTGTGATGCTGGGACTGAGCTGTGGACCTCTGTCTGCCCATGGTGTGATGGGATCAAGCTGCGGATCCTTGGATGCTCTTTGACTATCCTGCTATGGCAGATGTGGCGAGAGCTTCAGACCTTGTTTCTGAATTGGTCCTTTTCCTCAGTGCATCAGTAAGAGGTCAGAGGAAGGGAAAACTGGGTTTAATGATTGAAAGACAGCTTTGAGATGAGCCGTTCCTCTGCTGACTTCCAAGATTAGTTCTCCCCAGTGGAGGTCCAGGTGATGGGGAGGGAGTTGCAGTCCGGGAGATATTTGGTGCTATGTGTCTCTGAATTTCCCTACTGTTTGACTTGATGCTATGTTTCAGAGTCAAAAATTATGGGTTGGGTCTTCAGCTGCTGCTGTTGTGGTTTTGAGACCATGGCATAGGCGGGACGTTTCTCCAGCACCCTGTGAAACAAGCCAGTCCTGAGGCACGGGCAGCAGGACCGCAAGAAACAGCCTCTCTGAAGGGTCTGCTTTCTCACGTGCCATTCCAGTCCTGCCAAAGCCTCACCAAGATGTCGTGCTACCTACACCAGTGCCTCCCTCCAGTCTACCAGAACCCCATCCCCATCAAGTGCTCGCCAATGTATACTGCTAGACATCTGCCAGCGCGTACCTGGCACTCAACACTGTGTACACCACAGTATTTGTCGCCCTGTGTCCCCCGGCAGCGGATCATGTCCTCCAGCTTCTCCCATGAGCAGTGTGTAACCAAGTGTGTGCCGCGGCTGAAGTATGAGACCAAGTATGTGCCACAGCAGCAGTGTGTGACCCAACACATCCAAGAGCAGCCATATGTAACTCGGTGTGTGACAACCTGCGTGCCACAGCAGCAGCTTGCAACTGAGGGTGTGCTGCAGCAGCCTTGTGTGACCAAGTGTGTGCCACAGCAGCAGTGTGCCACTGAGGCTGTGCCACAACAGTGTGCAACCAAGTGTGTGACCGCCTATGCCCCCCAGCAGCAGTGTGAGACCAGATATGTGACCACGTGCATGCCACAGCAGCCGTACCTGACCAAGGGCATCCCGCAGCAACAGTGTGCAACCAAGTGCATCCCACAGCAATGTGTGACAACATACACCCAGCAGCAGCCATGTGCAACCAGGTGTGTGACCACGTGTGTCCCAGAGCAGCGTGCAACCAAATGGGTCTCGCACTCCTTTGTGACCTCTTCTGCCCCGCAGCAGTGTGCCACCACATATGTCCCACAGCAGCGTGCAACCAGGTGTGTAACAAAGTGTGTCCCACAGCAGTGTGCCACTGACTGTGCTACCATTTGTATCCCACAGCAGGGTGCCACCAAGTGTGTCCCACAGCAGCAGGGTGCCACTCAATGTGTCCCACAGCAGCAGTGTGCCACCAAGTGTGTGCAACAGCAGCAGGGTGCCACCAAGTGTGAGCGCCAGCAGCAGTGTGCCACCAAGTGTGTCCCACAGCAGCAGTGTGTCACCAAGTGTGTCCCACAGCAGCAGTGTGCCACCAAGTGTGTGCAACAGCAGCAGGGTGCCACCAAGTGTGAGCGCCAGCAGCAGTGTGCCACCAAGTGTGTCCCACAGCAGCAGTGTGTCACCAAGTGTGTCCCACAGCAGCAGTGTGCCACCAAGTGTGTGCGACAGCAGCAATGTGCCACGAAGTGTGTGCGACAGCAGCAGAGTGCCACGAAGTGTGTGCGACAGCAGCAATGTGCCACCAAGTGTGTCCCACAGCAGTGGTGTGCCACCACGTGTGTCCCACAGCAGCAGTGTCAGTTGGGTGGAGTGAAAATTTCAAGCCATGCTAAAAAGTACTGCTCTGCCTCCAAATGGCCCTGGTAGAAAGGAGAGGGGGAAAGGAAGGCCCACAGAAGAAGAGCTAGGTACAGCTTCTGGGATTGGCAGGGGTTATTCATCTCCTCATACAATCTGCCAGCTAGTTCCTGTTGCTTAAATCTGCTTTATCTCTGTTTTCCAGTGTTTCCCCTGTAGCTCAGTGCTAGTTTGGGCCACAGGGTGTGATATTATATCCATGGCTGCACTCCAGGTACCTATGCTTGTACCTTTATCTGCTGCAAGGCATAGTTTAGTGGGATGCTATTAAATTCTCACATAACTAAAATGAATAGTGATTTAAATATATATATATATGTAAAGAAATAGAAATGTCTAAGGACTCCAGATCATGACAGCACCAAAAGGACTGGTGGTCTGTCCAGTGAAGGTGTGGCCTGTGCCCAACTCTGGGTTTAGTCCTTAGGAGACAATGTTCATATTAACTTGGGTTCCATGAGGCTGTACATTCTCCAAACAGAGAACTATAAAAAAGCTATCTGTTTTCATGCCCAGATTCGGAAGCCAAAAGTAAATTTGCTAAGCAAACGGTGTACAAATCTTATTCCAATGGCCTTCATTTCAGAAGGTGGCCAGAAATGACTGCTGCTCTAAAACACTGACTCTGTGCTGACTCCAGTAGAGTCGCCAGACAAGGCAGGATTCCTGGTTTAGTGAAGCTGATTCTTGCTGAAATTTTATATATGAAAGTTTTTATTCACTTGGTTGCTTTCATGAATATTGAAAACACAACTTGAAACAAAAGCAAGTCTTTGAAATAACACCAAAAGTTGTAGCACGACTGTTTTAGAAATGTTTGAGCTGTAAAAGCAATTAATTATATTCTTTATGTTGCTTGAAGATGTTTACACTGTATTGAAAACAAAACCCTTATATATATATGTATACTTATACATATATATACTTAAATAAAGTTGTCTGACCTGAGATTAAGTATCTTGTCTTTTTGCCCTCTCATGGTTCTTCATTAAATACAGTGAATCCGGTTTAAAAACTAGAAAAATCCTGTAATATGCCCTATCATTAGGAGAATGAGTAGTAACTCATGCTTAGTAGATCATGTGTATTTGGAGGGTGAAAACAAGTGTTGCAAGACAAAGAGGAGGGTGTGACCAGGCCTGGGATGCTGCCCTGCATCCTGCCCTGCTCCACCCTTGCTCAGTGACCTTGGGGTGTCACTGCAGGCTGCCCTCTGAAGGCAAGGAAGTGTCCAAGACCTGAGCATCTAGCAATGTCAAGGTGGCATCTGGCTGCTTCCCCAGGGGGCTCAGTGGGTCATGGGGGACCAAACCCTTTTCATACCTTCTCCTGAATATTCAGTGGTGATGCTTTGGACCAGAGGGGCAGCAGTCAAGAGCAGCAGAGACTGTGGCCTTCCTTCCACCTTGAAGAGCCAGGGATGCTCTCACAACCCAACACTTTGTGTCCCCTTTAAAACCAAGAAATGAACAATGGGGTGAGCTTCTGAGGAGTTGTCACATCATCGTGGCTTTCCCATAGGTGCCAGAGCCCAGGGGATCCTTAGGAAAATCTTCCTGGTGGTTACGGGTAGCCAGGTGGTGCAGGACCTTGCCTCACAGCATGTATGGGGCTTGTTCTGGAGGTGGTTGCGATGAAGTCTGGCCCTGACCCTGGCTCTGACTCACTCTGTGCCACCAAGTGACCACAATGCAATGTGCCTCAGTTTCCCCTGTGCTTAATTGGGAATAATAATACCCCCCCACAACAATGTCCCATGTGGCACTATGCGTCTCTCTGAGATGAAAGGGCTTTACAGATGCTAATTAAGAACATTTGGATGACAGAGCACAATGTTATCATCGGGCTGGTATTCTGCTACCTGTATTGGAAACACTAAACTGAATATTAGCATTACTTGAAGGCTACTTGATCTGGAGCTTGTCCAGGATTCGGATTTATAGACCTTATAAAAACTATATTAATCTGCTTACCTGTTCTCTGACGCCAGCTTAATTCCCAAAATCTTGGGTCAGATCATTTAACATTAAAAAGGGCATTACAGTTCAGAGGAGTGAAACACAATAAAAGTTGTTGTCATTAACTGGGAAAACATGCACTTTGTATTTTTTTCTGTGATAGTGAGGGAGACTTTTTCTTTTTTTTTTTTTTTGAATATCAGAAATTTATATAACAAACTTACCTTCAGGCTTCTGAGTTTTCCAATGAAAATAGAAATAGAAAATTTACTCAGTGGTTCATAAGATGGAGATCAATATTTTGCTTCGAATCATAGAATTATTTAAGTTAGAAAAGACCCTTAAGACCATCGAGTCAAACCATAAATACAATGCTGCCAAATGCACCATGTTCCTAAGCATGTCTTTGAAATACCTCCATGGATGACAACCCAGCAGCATTCCCAATGCTTCACACTGGTGAAAAATTTTCCACTTGCTCCATTAAAAGTTAACTTATTTCACTTCTTTTTATTTCACTGTGTGGGACCTCACTTGAATTCCCAGCATGCTGGAACCCAAGTCATAGGTTTCAGATTAAAGGAAAAAAAATTAAAGGATGACTATGTAAGAATGTATTCGCTATTGGCACTTCTGCTCATGCCACTGTTAATTTTCCCTTGGGTTCATCTGTGGCATAAACAGGGAACAAAGCAGGGGATGACTGGTGCAGAGACTGTCAGCAGACATCAGAGCAGGAAATGGGATTTGTGTTTTCAGGACATGAGCTGGGTTTGATTCAGCCGCCTTTCCCCAGGCTCCTGCTTGTCCTTTCTCCTTTTGTTGTGCCGGAAAAGTGTCACCCGTGTCAGCAGGTCATTCATTCTGTGGCAAATCCTTTTTAGTAGCCATCTTGCCTTAGCCCAAGGCTTTCTCAGTCCAAATCATCTGTTTCTTCCCTGGGCTCCCTATGTAAGTGAAGGAAGGCTGCATGCCACAGTAATTATGGTCTTGGCAAAAAGTTGCCAAGAGTCCTTCCTGGACAGTGTTTTCAAATGCACCAAAGGGATTTAGGCATGGAAATGAGAAGTCCCTTGAGCAGTCCCTTTGGTGGTCTCAACTGCAATCTTTTTCTGAGAGGAAAGGTATATTTTAGCCCTGCATTGGGCATGCAGGGATGCTTTGGCACTGTGCATGGGGATTCAGTGCATGAGGGCCATGAGCACAGGGTGTCCTCAGCCTCCCAGGTGCTTCGCAGGTTCAGTTTGTTGGATCATGAAGTTCCTCCTCATGGAGCTCACAGATGTTCTGACAGGACTGGGTGGTGATGGCAACCTCACAGAGTGAGGACATCCATTCCCGCCGGCATGAAGCTGCACGTGGCTCGTCCAGGACTGGCAGGCAATTAGAGCATCAACCAGCTAAACCACCTCACTCCCCTAGGGCACTTATTCACTGTATAAAAGCTCTGCCATCGCGGGGCTTTCCTAGGCACTTCTCTCCAGTTGATCTCACTGATGAAGTGGGTAAGTCTGGTTTTTAATGGAGCTCCTGAAATGCTGTTTTATTCCTGGGTGGCCGGAGCAGGCAGAGGTTCTGCGTGTGTACTCGCGGAGAAGCATCCTCTGGGGGATGCTGCCTTCAGCACCAGCATGCACGGCTCTAACAGCTGGAGCATCTCCTCTGTGCTAAACTGAAGAATATTGGGAAAGCACTTGCTGATGGACTGTGAAGTCAGGAGTGGGATCTGTGGGCTTCTCTACGTTTTCTGTTAGTTGTAGTCTGAAGGAGGCTATTGACTACATAAAGGGCTTGATGCTGGCAGCAGATATGAGCAACTCCTCTAAAGGAAGTGACATGGAGAAATTTGCTGCTGTTTTATGGAATTTAAGCAAAGCAACTTTAAAGATAATAGTAAGAAGCTGACCACCTTCAGTGCCAATATGAAGGTCAACAAAGAGACTCTCTAGCTAAGCCTGACCATGTTTAAATTTCCATCTAGGCTAACAGTGATACAAATGAGTCTAAGATGGAAACAACCCCTTGGAAGCAAATCCTCCCCCCTACTTTAGAAGCTTTTTATCTTGATGAACACCACTTTAGTGTTGTACATGTAGTAGTAGTAATTGCTATCATTGTTTTTCACATGGTTGTTTTTATTAGTCGATGATTATAATTGTCATGATAATAAGTTTTCCTAATGATTGGAACACACAGCATTGCTACTGCTAATAGTCACTCAGTGACAGGCTTTTGGAAGATAAAATGCCTTATTGTAATTATAGACAGAACTAGGGGTGTTCAGAAACTGCAGTTTCTTTACAGTTGTTTAATTATATGCCTTAATCTCCAAATGATGTTGAAACGAAAAAAAGAAAACATTTTCAAACAGAGTACCTTTCACATGTCAGTGGTTCAAGTACCTATTGTGCTCAAACTATGCCTGTTAAAACCGCAGAAAACTCCCTGAAACTGGTGTTTTCCAGGGTGGGGAATGAAGTGGGATGGTTTATGCTGCGACTCCCAGGGCCAAGACAAAAAGTGAAACATTTCTCAGTGGTTTCAGGAGGGAAGTGTGGACCTTCAGATGGTGCCACCTGGTCCCTTCTCCAGGGATGGGGTCTCATCTCGATTCCTCTTCCTGCTGTTCTAACTGGGGCTGCCTGGATGAGGTTTCACTATCAGAGCTGTTATGTGACAGCTGCTATGTGGCATTGTGACGGTGGATCTTCAGCTTACCATAACAAAACCAGGACATTATGACTTGGTATGACTGTAGTGCAGGGCTGGAGGCTGCTTTAAATGGGTTTAATTCTCTCAGCTCAGTGACACTTTAGCAGTTAACACCAGCTGAGACATTGCCTTCACAGCTTCTCCTTTCCTGCTATGATTTCACTAAATACTTAGACACAATCCTGTTGTATTTTTAATTTTCTTGAAGATGCTTACACAATAGTATGAATCTGGGACTGCAAGGCTTGCAGAGGCAGCAAAGCTGATGCTATGGTAGCATGCTCAGACCGTGCACCTGCACACCACCAGCCCAGCAGACAGACCCCTGTGGGACTGTGA